TTTTGAATGTAATCGATTACAATTACAATTTTGTTACCCCATATCTGGGTGGCCGGTGGTGGGTGGGTGGCGGTGCTTCAGGCAGGTGGTGCTGGTGAGGTCTTTTTATGTGGTGGTAGGTGGGTTGTATCTGTTCCTCCCTCTCTTTCCTCCCCCTCTCTTCTTCTCCCCTCTCTTCTTCCTCCCCCTCTCTTCCTCCACTCTCTTCTTCTCCCCTCTTCCTCCTCTCTTTTTCCTCCTCCACTCTTTCTTCCTCCCTCTCTTCTTCCTCCTCTCTTCTTCCTCCCTCTTCTTTCCTCCCCTCTTCCTTCCTCCCCTCCTTCCTCCCCCTCTTCCTTCCTCCCCTCTTCCTTCTCCCCTCTCTTCTTCCTCCACCATCTTCCTTCTCCTCCTTTCCTCCTTCTTCTTCTCTCTCCTTTTCCTTCCTCCACTCTCTTTCTCCCCACTCTTCTTCCTCCCTCTTCTTCCTCTCTCCTTCCTCCTCTCTCTTCTCCTCTTTCCCTCTCCCTCTTCTTTCTTCTCCCCCTCTTCTCCTCTTCTTCTCCCCTCTTCTTCCTCCCCTCTTCTTCCTCCCCTCTCTTCTTCCTCCCCTCTCTCCCCCTCTCTTCTTCCTCCCCACTCTTCTTCCTCCCTTCTTCCTCCCTCCTTCCTTCCTCCCCTCTCTTCTTCCTCCCCTCTCTTCCTCCCCTCTTCTTCTCCCCTCTCCTTCTTCCTCCCCCTCTTCTTCCTCCCTCTCCCCCTCTTCTTCCTCCCCCCTCTTTTTCCTCCCTTTTCTTCTTCCTCCCCCTCTCTTCTTCCTCCCCCCTCTTCTTTCCTCCCCCTCTTCTTCCTCCCCTCTCTTCTTCCTCCCCTCTCTTCTTCCTCCCCCTCTTCTTCCCCTCTCTTCTTCCTCCCCTCTTCTTCCTCCCTCCCTTTTTTTCCTCCTCTCTTCTTCCTCCCCTCCCTTCTTCCTCCCCTCTCTTCTTCCTCCCCCTCCTTCTTCCTTCTCCCTCTCTTCTTCCTCCCCCTCTCTTCTTCCTCCCCCTCTTCTTCTCCCTCTCTCTTCTTCCTCCCCCTCCCTTCTTCTTCCTCCCCCTCTCTTCTTCCTCCCTCTTCTTCCTCCCCCTCTCTTCTTCCTCCCCCCCTCTCTTCTTCCTCCCCCCTCTTCTTCCTCCCTCTCCCTCCTTTCTTCCTCCTTTTTTCCTCCTCCTTCTCTCTTCTCCTCCTTTCTTCCTCCCCTCTTCTTCCTCCCCTCCTTCTTCTCCTCCCTCTTCTTCCTCCCCCTCTCTTCTTCCTCCCCTCTTTCTTCTCCCTCTTCTTCCTCCCCTCTTTTTCCCCTCTCTCCTTCCTCTTTTTTATTCCTTCTTCCCTCTCTTCTTCTTCCCCCCTCTCTTCTTCCTCCCCATCTTCCTCCCTCTCTTTTTCTCCCCTCTTCCTCTTCTTCCTCCCCTCTCTTCTTCTTCCCCCTCTTTTCCTCCCCCCTCTCTTCTTCCTCCCCCTCTCTTCTTCCTCCCTCCTTCTTCCTCCCCTCTCCTTCCTTTTCCCCCTCCCTTCTTCCTCCCTCCTTCCTTCCTCCCCTCTCTTCTTCCTCCCCTCTCTTCTTCCTCCCCTCCCTCTTCTTCTCCTCTTCTTCCTCCCTCTCTTCTTTTCTCCCCTCTCTTCTTCCTCCCCTCTCTTCCTTTTCTCCCCTCCTTCTTTCTCCCTTCTTTCCTCCCTCTCTTCTTCCTCTCCCTCCTCTTTATTTCCTCCCTCTCTCTTCCTCCCCTCCCTTCTTCCTCCCTCTCTTCTTTCTCCTCCTTCTTCCTCCCTCCTTCTTCCTCCCTCCTTCCTCCCCTCTCTTCTTCCTCCCCCTCTCTTCCTCCCCCTCCTTCTTCCTCCTCTCCTTCCTCCCTCCCTTCCTCCCCCTCTCTTCCTCCCTCCTTCTTCCTCCCTCTCTTTTTCTCCCTCCTCTCCTTCTTCCTCCCTCTCTTCCTCCTCTCTTCTTCCTCCCTCTCTTCTTCCTCCCCTCTCTTCTTCCTCCCCTCTCTTCTTCCTCCCCCTCTTCTTCCTCCTCTCTTCTTCCTCCCCCCTCTCTTCTTCCTCCTCTTCTTCCTCCCCTCTTCTTCTCCCCTCCTTCTTCTCCTCCTCCTTCTTCCTCCCCTCTTCTTCTCCTCTTCTTCCTCCTCTCTTCTTCCTCCCCTCTCTTCTTCCTCCCTCTTCCTTCCTCTCCATTCTTTCCTCTTCCCTCTCCTCTTTTTCCTCCCCTTTCCTCCTTTTCCTTTTCTCTCTCTTCTTCCTCCCTCTTTTTTCCTCCCCCTCCCTTTTTTCTCCCCTTTCTTCCTCCCCTCTCTTCTTCTCTCCCCTCTCTTCTTCCTCCTCTTTTTCTTCTCTCTTCTTTCTTCTCTTCTTCCTCCCCTTCCTCTTCCTCCCTTCCTCCTTCTTCCTCCCTTCTTCTTCCCTTCTTCTCTCCTTCTTTCTTCTTTATTCCTCTCTTCTTCCTCCCCTCTCTTTCTTCTCCCTCTCTTCTTCCTCCCCTCCTTCTTATCTCTTCTCTCTTTTCTTCCTCCTCTCTTTTCTTCTCTCCTTCCTCTTCCTCCCCTCTCTTCTTTCTCCCTCTCTTGTTCTCCTCTGTTTTCCTCCCCCCTCTCTTTCTTTTTCCTTCCTCTTCTTCCTCCTCCTTTTTTTTCTTCCTCCTCCTTCTTCCTCCCCTTCTTTTTTCCTCCCTTTTTCTTCTTCTTTCTCTTTCTCCCTCCTCTTTCTCTCTTCTTCCTCCCCTCCTTCTTCTCCCCTCTCTTCTTCCTCTTTTTTTTTTTTTGTTTTTTGTTTTTTTTTTTTTTTTTGTTTGTTTTTTGTTTTTTGTTTTTTGTTTTTTTTTTTTTTTTTGTTTTTGTTTTGTTTTTTTTTTTTTTTTTGTTTTTTTTGTTTTTGTTTTTGTGTGTTTTTTTTGTTTTTGTGTTTTTTTTTTTGTTGTTTTTGTTTTTGTTTTTTGTTGTTTTTTTTGTTTGTTTGTTTGTTTGTTTTGTTTTTTGTTGTTGTTTGTTTTTGTTTTTTTTTTTTTTTTTTGTTTTTTTTTTTTTTTTTTTTTTTTTTGTTTTGTTTTTTTTTTTTTTTTTTTTTTTTTTTTTTGTTTTTTTTTTTTTTTTTTTTTTTTTTCTCTTCTTCCTCCTCTCTTCTTCCTCCTCTTTGTTCTCCCCTCTTCTTCCTCCCCCTCTTCTTCCTCCTCTTCCTCTGTTTCCTAATTCTAATTTAACGGCTTACCTCGTCAGTAAAACATTTAGATTCACTTTAATTTTTACTGTATAGGTATATAATATTTATTTTCATTAGTAATACGGCTGTCGTGTGGTGTGTGTGTGTGTGTGTGTGTGTGTGTGTGTGTGTGTTCATTCAGAGTCGCCGGAAGTCAAGTGTCTGAGGAGAAAGTGAAACTTGAGGCTAATGGGTACATGATGGTGAGGGTAGTGATGGTGTGGACGATGGTGGTGATGGTGTGGATGGTGGTGATGGTTGTGGATGGTGGTGATGGTGTGTGGACTGATGGTGAAGTGGTGGTGTGGAATGGTGATGGTGGTGATGGTGTGGATGGTGGTAGAGATGGTGGTAGTGATGGTGGTGATGGTGTGGATGGTGGTGATGGTGTGGACGATGTAAGCTAGGTTCAGTTGGTTAGGTTAGGTTCGGGTTAGTTCGGGATAGGGTAGGCTATGTTAAATATGGTTAAGTTAATCTTCAGGTGATATAAGCTGGGGTGTGTAATCTTCAGGTGATATAAGCTGGGGTGTGTAATCTTCAGGTGATATAAGCTGGGGGTGTGTAATCTTCAGGTGATCCATTGTTTTTGTTGTGGTAGGGAGGTGTGTGAGATCAATTTAACTGGGAGAAAGGAGATCTGTTGCTGCTATAAGGACCGTTTTGTTTTTGAGGAAAGGTGTTACGGTTCCCGCCACTTTTAACGGTCGGTAGCGGGTCTTGACGATGATTGGGCGCGCTGGATGGTTGAGGTGCCAACTCTCTCTCTCTCTCTCTCTCTCTCTCTCTCTCTCTCTCTCTCTCTCTCTCTCTCTCTCTCTGTATTTTCGGAAATAAATTTACATTCTTCTTTACTCTCGTACGTTTGTGCAAATCAATAAAAGGAGGTGATGAAATTATTAAACCTAAAGAAGTCAAAGATAAGAACATTGATCGCCAAGAAGTCAAAGATAAGAACATTGATCGCCAAGAAGTCAAAGATAAGAACATTGATCGCCAAGAAGTCAAAGATAAGAACATTGATCGCCAAGAAGTCAAATAAACACTAATTGATTGATTGGGTACAAGGGTGCGGCACTCTTCTCTTCTCTTCTACCCTCTACTCTTCATTCTTTTCTTCTGCCTTTCTGTCCTGTTCTTTCTTCTTTTCCTCCTCTCCTTCCTCCTCTTCTTTCTCCTCATCCTCCTCCTCCTCCTTACCGAGTGAAGAAATAAAGAAATCAGGGAAAGATGATACAATGGAAAAGATGGAAGGAAGCAAAGAAACAGTGATAATTGAGGGACTTGAAAGAAACAAAGAGATAATAAATAAATTAGAAAAATACGAAGATATAAGAGGAAGGAGCTGATGATAATAGATGATGATGATGAAATAGAGAGAGGAGGAACATGAAGAAGAAGACACAGGAAGGGAAAGACGAGAGAGAGACATAGAGAGGAAGAAGAAACAACATACATATGGAGGTTAATAGATGAAAGTGTGGGAAGTGATAGAGTGGATGATTGTTGTGAGAGAGAGAGAGAGAGAGAGAGAGAGAGAGAGAGAGAGAGAGAGAGAGAGAGAGACGCAATGGCTGTCTTGTGGTGCATCATTAATCTCCAGCAGTATCTATCAACATTAACAAGGACAAATTACTCACTAACCACCACTACCTACCGCCTCCAACCACTACTTCTTACCTGTACTAACAACTACAAACTACCAGCAGTAACAACCATTACCTACCAGTAGCAACAACCATTACCTACCACCACTACCTACCACCATTAACCAAGTGTTCTTCCCCCTACAGGAGATGTCAGAGTACGGGCGGGTGGTGAAGGGGTGTGGGGAGAAACGTGAACTGTGGGAGGACCCGGAGTTCCCTGCCTCTCAAACCTCTGTCTTCTACCACCAGACGCCGCCCTTCACCTTTCACTGGCGACGACCTAAGGTAAGCTGCATCTGCGTGTTGGTATTACTGTTATTACTGGTATTTTGTAAGGTACTGTACCGTCTCATTAGTTATCATTATTTTAAGGTACTTTTCCTTATACCTAAAGTCGTATATATCTTTTGAATTTCCGCGATGGTCGTTAGTCACCTAAGATAAATACCCCATTTGAGTACTCATTGTTGTGTTGATTCTTCTGTAGCTTATAATTAACACACTTTCTCCTTCCCATAGACAATTTTACCTGTGTACATCAGTTTTTGTCTATGTTAATCATGATATTTCAGTCTTTGTTCCTGCATACCAAGACTTTGTGTGGTGTAGTATCTCTCTCTCTCTCTCTCTCTCTCTCTCTCTCTCTCTGTCTCTCTCTCTCTCTCTCTCTCTGACAGTTTCGTCTTCCGGGTGTTATTACAGTTTCTCTTCCTTCCCAATTATTCGCCTTGTTTATACTCTACACCTATTTTCTTTTTGTCTCTATTATGACTTGTTCCGTTCTCATTACTTCCCAATGTTATTATGTGTTTTTGTTTACTCTGCTTTCATTGTGTCACTTTCAGTATGTATCACTTGACTTTTACTCTCGTCAATTTTCTTATTTTATTACTATGGCTGTGTCACTTTACTTCTATATGTCACTTTCAATATGTGTCATCTGTGTATCACGTTGAGTTTCTTCCTGCCACTCACAGGATACAGTAAGTGTGTTAATATACATTTTAAGTATTGGCCTCGACGTGACTCGATGGAACGATCACCTCCGACTTTCTCCTGGTGTAAGTGAAGCTCTGGCACTCTGTATAGCTGTGTCTGTGATTGTCTGGCACTGTGTGTGATTCTCTGGCACTGTGTCTGTGATTCTCTGGCACTGTATGTGATTCTCTATGCCATATAGAATCACACACAGTGCCACCGAGAATCATAGACAGTGCCAGAGAGTATGGCAATGTGTGTGTTATTTCCAATGGCACTGTGTCTGGAGCAAGTGTAGTGTGTGTGTCTGGCTGTTTCTGAGTTAGTGTCCGTCTTTGGGTCTGTGGAAGTCTTTGCGGGAATGTCTGTCTGTTAGTGGGTCTGTCTGTCTCTCGTGTGACAGAGGGCATAATTGCATGACTCTACGTGACCACAACACTGAACTGTCATGATCACGCTGTCACAAACAAGCCCATTTTTTGCTGCGTAAGATAGCTTAATGAATGATATTCCTCACACACACACACACACACACACACACACACACACACACACACACACACACTGACTAACTGACTTTAATAAGAGAGTATCCCCCTCCTCATTTCCTGTTGTCGCTAATAAACGTCACTTCGTCACTTTCTATCAACGGTGTTACACTTCACCTCACACTAGGGCACAACTCTCCTAAGACGTAACCTTGTACACTTACGACAAAACATTAACATTATACTGTGACTTTAACCTGAACTAGATACGTTCACTTAGCACAAGAGTTAAGGTTTAAGAACTATTGGATAAGTCTCTACCTCAGTTGTCTTGGTGTTAATTTAATGTATCGGGTTAAGGTTGAGTTTCATTGTAATTTTTATCTCCTAACTGCTACTGGGTGAAGGTATTTAGTTAAGGTAAAGTCTCTGTATAATGTAAAACTGTGTTGGTGTTTTTATCTTAAGTCAGCCAATGAGGTACAGTCTTACATCTTCAGTTACGAGAAATACTTAATTTTACCAACCTTTGTTAATCTGAAGCCTGGCCTGTGTCACCCCTGGGCCGCACTGTGTCACCTCCGGGTCACACTGTCACGCGTCTCATCACCACTAACACACACTTTCTCCAGATTGCTTCCACCAGCGTGATTCCACACACACACACACACACACACACACACACACACACACACACACACACGTCGTGACTCTTAATAGCATCTTCCCTTTTTCTTTTAGCTTTCTATTACTGGCTCGTGTTTCCCCGCCTCACGTAATTATCTTACTGTGGTAAATACCGTCCGCTTTTGTCTGTTTGTATGTTATGCTGTTTGTTGTTGTTTATTCAGATTCTTAACAACAAAAGGTGGCGTTTGATTCAGGGTTTTTTTTGGGGGGGTCTTCGTTATTTTTTTATCTCCGTATTTTCACGTTTAATTTATCTCGTTTACACACACACACACACACACACACTGGAGGGGGTCAGGTAGGGTTGAGTCAATGGGGACTTTCTCCGTCATTATTATTTTGTTTTGTTTTATTATTGACTTTACTCATTCATTCTCTCCTCCCCCCTTGTTTATCTCGCTCTGGTTCACCCCTTCTCTCTCTCTCTCTCTCTCTCTCTCTTTGTTAGTGGCTCTTGTTGAAGTCGTCACCATAACCCTTTGAGTACAATATGATGCCAACTCCCTGAGTACAGTGAATTGCCCCATGAGTACGTTATATTATTCCCTTCAGTACGAGAACTTAGTACATTTGAATCACTTTAGCCACAGTTCCGAAACAGGATTCAATACCCGATTTTCTGGAAAGGCTTCGTTTAGTGTTTCACCGAACCCGAGTCATTATAATCAAGGCCTCGTGAATCATTGTTGTCGATGGTTTGTGAAGCACTATTTTCATGGCTTTGGGATTCATTAATGGTAATGCTATGTGAATCACTATTGTCAATCTTTTCCGAGTCATTGTTGTTGTCGTCTGTGAGTCATTATTGTCAGCAGCCGTATAGCGAGACTCGACAGCGTCATTATCCGACCTTCATTCAACCCATTGTGTGTGTGCGTGTGTGTGTGTGCGTGTGCGCGTAGGTTGATGTGGTGGAGAATAATTCCACACCAACAACACCACAAAACCACCACAACACCACCACAACTTTACAGTAACACCACCACAACATTACAGCATCACCACCACAACACCACCACAGTTACAAGACCACAGAAACACCACCACAGCAACAATACTACAGCATCACCACCACCACAACAGTACCATAGCAACACCAAAGCAACACCACCACAAGACCGCAGCATCACCACCACAAGACCGCAGCATCACCACCACAACACCACCACCACAACAATACCACAGCAACACCAAAGCAACAACACCACCACTACGGCACCCATAGCACCACAAAGTAACACGTTACAAGGTCAGTACATAATATAACCTTCAGTCTCTCTCTCTCTCTCTCTCTCTCTCTCTCTCTCTCTCTCTCTCATATCCAAACACCTGTCTGTCTGTATTGACCAACAGAATCACTGTATAAACATCAGGTTGACACAGATGTGATTCTTGTAGCCAGCGGGACCTTGTAAAACAATGTATTTCTTTCTTTCATGGGATTCGTGTGTGTGTGTGTGTAGTTTTCAGCTCCTTTATGTGGGTCTGTGTGTCTGTCTATGTATGATCTGTGTTTGTGTACAGTCAGCTAAATATTATTGTGCACCTTTACGGGGTCCTACAGTATGACACACCGGACCAAGAATTCTGAAAACACTTATGAGTCAAAGTGGATGTTGGTAGCCCTGGCTTTCTGAGTTGCCAGTTACTCTGTAGATACTATTTACCTTCGGGTGTTTCAGTGTGTCTGCGTGCACAATGTGTTACAAGATGCGAATAGAGCAGTTAACACCATGTAACTATATTAATAAAATAATCGAATTAATATCAAAATCAATTGCCATTACAACTCTTGCTGTTTGCTCTGATGGTCTGCCCTTTGCAGATCGAAACTGCTCCGTTTCTAACAGATTCATTACATTCTTTTAAACGATCACACTTCCTCTGGTGAAATTCTTTGCTACAGTGTTACATAACACTGACAGTGCTTCTGCTTTGTGAATTTTACTACCAGTTACCCTCGGTCAATCCCCTATTCCTATTATATATTGTAACATTAGAGCTACAGCTCGTTTCTTAACTCGCATCTTTCTGGTAGCTCAGTTACCTATGCGTAATGTTGTATAAATTTCCTACGTTACAAATGTTTCGTATTTTTTTCTGAGTGAGGTCTTGTATTATGCTACTTCTCATCACTTTGTCAGATAATGGTTATAATCATGAATATTTACACAAGTTCGTTGTATCTCATCGTATGCGAAATTCCTATACTGCACCTCAGTTTCTAGAGTGCCTGCCATTCCTACCGTATGTGGGTGACTGAACGTAGTACTACGGTATAGAATATAATGCTATGACATTATCTGGTTTAAGTGCTATGGGTTTTATATGTATTCCTGATAATTTCTCTGTGGTTACTACACATGATATAAGGAATAAGAGCACATTAGTTTTACAATGAATCACACAATCAGAGATACCAACCTTACCAATACATAGCGCCACTCTCGCAGTGTTCGTTGCGAGTCATCGCACCCAGGGGTGCAGAATAATTTTTTGCTGACTGTACGTATGTGTTTGTACCTACTGTATGTGTGTTAACTGTATGCAGAAATGTGTGTGTACGTGTATATATGTGTGTGCGTTGCTAGGGAAAAACATACATCCAGGGCGGGGTGAGTTGTCAGGTGGGGAATAACTTCCTTCCTTTCCTTTCGTTTCCTTTCTTTATCTTCCTTCCTCCAATCCTTCCTTCCTTCCTTCTTCCCACTCTTCCTCCTTTCCTATCTGCCCCCCTTCCCTCCCTCCCTCCCTCCCTCCCTCCTTCCATCTTCTATCCTTTTCCATCTTCCTCCCTCCAGCTCGTACCCCCAACACATGACACAAAAAATACACAAGCAAGTAATTTAACTCCCGGAAGGTGAGGCGCCCTCGTGAGAACTGTTACACGTGTGTTATGGGGGTCACACGTCACCACTACCCACCAGAATCTAGATTATCAACCTAACGCAACTTCACTGATATTTATTTTTTTTAATATATATATATATATATATATATATATATAAATATATATATATATATATATATTTATATATATATATATATATATATATTGAATTTTAGTAGTAAACAAGTGATCGAAGGGTCCTTCGATCACTTGTGAAAGTTTGAACGCTCATGACAGCG